TACCGTTTCCGGTCGGCTCCCGCGATTTTAGAAAGGGCCTCCTGCCAACCAGCAGCAACCCGTATGGTACCTTTACGCTCTTTGGAGAACACCGATCGACGCACGAGCCTCTGTGACCGCGGCCTCTTTTAAACCGCTACGAAATATATCATTCACTTTCCGTATCGTTACGCGTTCTTTCTTTCTATAATATTTTTACACGTTTGACGAACGTGTCTCTCGCACGGATCACGACTGTTGTAATCCAAATTGAGAAAATAACGGTACAAGAATTCGTGACTTAGTTTAAGTGATTTCGATTACGAATAATAACCGTTATAAATATAAATGGTTAAAATCTCTATGGTTAGCGGTAGCCAATGTTGCCGAGAAAAATTCATTTTGATTACCGGTAACTGTTATCAGTAGTGAAACTAAACTACCTTTCGATTGTCAATAACAATAATCATTATCGACGGCGAAAATTTTCTAGTATTACTTTCGGCCATCGTTCATTTTTAGTAACTTTCTTCATATTATCCACGACTAAAAGATAGAATCTCGTTTAGACGCGGAATATCCATTAATCGAATTCCCACTGTCAAACATTGTACTATAGTTTCAACGTCGCGTCGATAACCAAGTTATTAGCAGTAGGGTCCTGTGTGTTTGGCTTTTAGACGGCTATAGTATAGATTTCAGTCAATTAGAGATTTATCATATAAACACTATACTTTATTATCCATTATTCGAATAGCGTAGTTGCTTTTTTATTTTAATACGCAACGGGTTTTATACTTTGAGCGTTGAAATTGAAATTGGAATTAAAAGATTTAACGTAATTAAAAGAGGAAACGCTTAATACGATATCAAGCGTCGAAACGAAACGAAAGATACCCTGAAACCTAATTTGCAATCTTAATACCTTAACTTAAATTTCCTGGAAAAGAAGTCGAATCCAGTTACACGAAAGATTCTGGTTAGAATCTGAGTTACGATAAATATATCGAGACAGAATCGACGAGATTATTACGATATTAAACATAGGAATTGGTCATGATATCAGACTTCGAACGAGATAACGGGTAAACGTAGTAATTTAATAAAGTTTTAATAAACTATATATATATATAGGATAAAGTTATACAACGTTTCCCAAGTATTTCAAGTAGTAGGTATTTTTACCTCGTTGAAAATTCAATATATTTGTATATTGAATCGTAAAAGACGATTAACGCGTTACACATTGACCTATGTGTGGACAAAATACGCAACGATAGGCAAACGGGATAAATAAACAACGCACTAGCCTTTTTTTTTTAACACGTATATTTCACTTTCCGTTGAAAAATAATGCCGTAAATCGTCGTAGGAAATAATAGAATCTGCACAAATCAACTCACTCGGCGCACCACTATTATTCGCTAGAGATATATTTACAGTAACTGGAACTGTCTCATGATTGAGGTCTTTGGTTGCGTTCAGGGGGAGGCGGAATCGAAAGGAGGGCGTTTCGACCTTCTGCTCCGCCGATTTCCTCTTCGAGAACCCTCGTGGAAATTAGAGAAAGAGAGGGTGGACAACATTCACGTGGAGACACGAGGCTTTCTTTTCATTGTACAGAGATAGCGAAAAAGTGTGCAGCGCTAGCCTACCCTGTTGTTCCTCCATTGATAAAATAAGACATCGAGGAAGTTACGATTACCGGATACATCATAGTGACGACGATTTCGTAAAATAAATCGACTTTAGGACGTCGTAATAAATAGTAGCGAGCAATAGTTACTTTAAATAGTGATATTAATTAGTAGTAGTGAAATGCTCGTAGGCAATAGTTACGAAGTGAGATGGTAGATTCAGCTTTTTATAATGCGTCGAAGAGGTATAGTCGAAAAATGGGGCTGGGAGAAAGGGACGAGAAAGAGAGAGTGCGATAAAGTTAATGGTCGTAGTCAGGAACATGCGACATTTACACATCGAGTACATTTAAACGTGTGTGTTACGTAATCTCGCGTCTTATTATGAATTTTCCGCCGCAATTATCGCTGTCGCTTCGATAGTTTCGAAAAAACCCAACAACAGCTTTCCTCTTTCCTACGCAGCGAATCAAATATCTCTCTTTTCGCTCTTGTTCTTCGACTTATAAATTAAACGTTAACCGTAAATTATTTTATGACTAGACGTCAAGCACAAAAGTGGATCGTTGATTTTGAACATTGAACGGACGATGTTAAATTATCGAAACGATGCCGAACGACATATATTTTCGGAATAAAATGTCCCTCTCGATAAGCTCGTGACTAAGGTTGACATATTATTAAACAATTAGACTAGGAAAGACTAGAAAATAGCTTTTTATCCTTAAATATATATGTTTGGTATCTTTAGTATCTAAAGATATACGTATATCTTTTTCGAATAAAAATATCCTACTAATTTCTGCTGAAATATCTTACGCTCGAAGAATAGGACTCGACAGCTATCGATCTACGCAGAGCGTTTCGTTCAATGAACGATTCGTAATTATATCATAAACGTGTTAAACACCAGTTTTCTTTGCGATTTTCCATTTGAATTTACCAGCGCATCGCCTATCGATTCATCGATCGGCTGGAAATTTAATCGAGTAGTAAAACGCGAGTCTTCGAACGTAACTTGCCGTTTGTTAAACGCGAAGATGTTTTCACCGCGAGATTTACGGTACACTTGCCACGAAGTTGGAACACACACGTGTCAAATGATAAAACTAGAGAAAAGTATCGCGGAGACAAACGGTGACAAGTGTCCGCTTCGATTAATATAATAGAACAGACTGAACGAATGGTGGGAAGAATAAGCCGGACCGCAAACGGTTAAATGCTCGGCGAAAACCACGACATTGCGACTTGTTTGACATGCTGCATAATTTGTGCAATCCGACGCGAGACGTGGATATTTGAAGTGACTTGCGCGGTGTGGCTAATAAGTACATAACTACGAGTACGTATAGTTCGACCGCCCATTTACGTAACAGTATATGCCTATCGAAGGTCAGATACGACAATTAGATTCCTATGTGTCCCGAGCTTTGCTTTTGCTCCCTCCGTCGTTCCGGTTACGATTATACGAAAGTTTCGCAATCGCCATACTTAACGAATAACCATCCGAATATAATCGTGATCCCGCGCACTCGGACGATGCAAGCGCTTCTTCGAAGGAATCGAAAAGATTCATCGAAATCAACGGTTCCGTGTTCCCAGATTGTTTTATCTTATCCATCGAGACAGGGAACGGTAGCGATATCCTGCTATTCGGACAAACATCGTTTCACAGAATTAAATCGCGATTAGAAAACGTTCCAATAGGATAAAGAAAACGCACGAGATAGATTTTTGTTCGAAATATATAAATATAACGAGCTTTTAGTATTTTTTTAAATATGCCCCGCTGTAGATCGTAAGTCGCTGCTTTTCATTCGTCGAGAATCAATGTTGCAACCGAGAATAGATAATAGCATAACGTAGATACATTGTAATAAATTCGCACTGACAATATCTGTGATAAATTTTTCTATAAAGACGATTGCAACCAAAGATAATGCTGAAACTTCGCAACCACCAATGCATCGCGAACCTCTCGAGCCTCTTATTAGGCTCGAGGAACGCTAAACGTCCTTGTCCAAATAGAATCATCTTGATACCGTTTCGTGTCTAAACGGATAATATAAACAATCTCAAATTACATACGAAAATGCATGTAACGTTAGTTTTATAACTCTCCGCGTAATAGGCCTCGATCTTTTTTACGCAATACGACATTCGCATATTTGCGTTTAGATTGTCGCATCATCGAGCTTTTCGGAAAATACATTCGCGATACCGAGTTTCAGTTTCAATGTTTACTAAATTATTCGTATTACATACTTCGTTCGAGGGAAATTACGTTTACGAGGTTGTGTTTAGGAATCTGAGTGAAATTATTTGTAAATGTTCGCACGTTTGCGAAAGTTTTAATAATCGGAATAATTTCCCGGAAAATGCGTTAGCAAGAGGCAATATACTGTATTCTTGACTGTGTTCTGTCTCCCCTCTTGCTGCAAACTTTCCCCTTTTCGAGCTCGATGCATTATTTATAAAATCGTTGCAAGCAAATATTTTTCAGGTTAACGATACCACAAAAGTAGCTATACGTGCGCGGATAACTTCGTTTATAACTTGTCAAAACTCTAGAGCTGTTTTTCTTATTCCGTATGAAGAGTATATTTTTATCTAATCCAATATCGTGATATTATACCATAGTCGATATCGCGAATGTACTTGCGAAAAGACACTTGAGAAGAACGCAAGACTTTGTACTCTTTGCTTTGAAATTTGTTAGAAGAATTTTACACGCGTAGCTGAACAGTCAAACATCGACGGGAATAAAAGCGTTTGAAAATGTCTAAGAAAATAGTCATCCGGTTATTTTCCACCTTGCGAAGTAGTAGATTCGCACATTTTGATCGAATAAAATTTTGATTATAGAGATTTTTGACGCAGTGCTCGAATCGACGAGACCACGTAAGTTTCACGGAACGTTTCCTTCCAAGTTGGGCAAGCGAAAATGGTTGTAATCTTTTTTTAACGCGCTCCGAGATTACGGAAAAGTAGCGACATTGTAAAATTTGGAAAAGAAAGAAACCAAGGAGAACGTTGCGAAAGCGCGCCTGCGAACCGATGATGTAACGCGCACAACGGATAGCGGTGATTGCGAGTTCACAGGCGCTGCGTTCTGTGTCGCGTTGCATCTATCTGTCACGCCTCGAGTTCCTTTTTTTAACTGCTATGGACGGATATATCCGCATCGATCTTTTCATCGCCGATCGGGCCGTACTTCGTTCGTTTCTCCGTAATCGAGTCGTTTTAATCCGCGGAAATGCACCCCAGTCTTGGTCAACCGTCATCACCTGTTTTGATTCTCCGGCTGCTCTCCAAACGGAATTTCGAAAACAACGTGGCCCGCCGATACGCGCCAGAGGGAATGTCGAGTACCGTTGCTGACAATCAATAATACGGACAGTGATTTTCAATTCTGTACGATTGCAAATGGGCAGTGATTTTCAATTCCATACGATTGCATCTCCACTTTCGAGTCTGGTTTTTCTTTCCTTTTTTTAATGAAAAACCACGCCCTTCTGGGCGGTGTTGGTTACTTTCAAAAAATTCGTCATTCGTCGCCGAGCTATCTTTATCGTGAGTCTCTCTCTCGATGAGTCTTCGTTTTGATTCCCGCTCACGTTGAATCCTCTTTCTTGCGTTCAGAACTCTCGCGAGGGACGTTGACGGAAAGGTTCCGCGACGTGATCCGAACATATCATTCCAGAGTGCTTCGCTGTTTCAAGGAACACCGTGAGACGTTCGAGTATAAATATTTTAAACGAAGCCGCCCAGGGCATCGTGAAAGTCTTGTAGATAGGCGAGAAGTTGAGGCATGGTCGGCCGGTCTCTGGAAAGGCCTAACCAACAGACGGCCATTACGGCGAAAAATTCGTCCGGGCATGGCCTCGGTTGGGCCAGTCGATAACCATCTCGAAGACACGCCATCATTTCGAAAGGATCCACCTCGACGTATGGTTGCTGGCCCATCGTCGCCAATTCCCACAGGAACACTCCGAACGACCACTTGCAAAAAGAAAAGAAAAGAAAAGGAATAATTACTTGTCACGTTTGATAAGAGTTCGCTTGCGTCGATATCGCCGAATTACTCGTATAATGTTTTCGCGGTGTTTATCATTTTTAGCGAACGAACGATATAACGTTTATTACTTTCTTACAGTTTCGTCGAATCTGCGATTCTCGATAAAATGTTTCTTTTTATTAAAATTCGAAGCTACCGAAACTCCTCGCTATTTAATAATCTTATTCATTTTGTCCATTTGCATGTCTTTATATCCGTAATAGCTTCTTTCAACGTAAAAAAAACGCTCTTCGATAACGTCACTTGAAAATGATTTACTTTGCTACAAGTATCTACTTTCATATTTTATGTATCAGTGTGATAATATCGTAACAAAAGTTACAACGTACGTTATATATGTATCTTTCACGAAGTATAAGCAAATTTAAATAGGTAACTATTTATGGAGTCGCTTCTCATTTAAATAAATTTCCTTTCTACGTTTTAAAGAATCTTTTTTCCTCAAAGAAGCGATCCATTGGATACGAAATATTTTTTTGTTTTCTGTCTCGTTTAAAAACGCATCATAATTTAACCTATCGCACGAATACAAATTTGATCAAAGTTTGTTTTAATACGCATAAGTATTTTTCATTTTTTAATTGATTATTCGTTCACGATCGAATCAACCCGTGTACGATAGAACTCCGTTTATACGAGTTAGTCGAAACATAGTGTGGGGGAACATGCAATTTACATAATTTCAATTCATGTGATAAAAATCAATCGATTCTCTCTATCAGCTATGATCAGAACATGTACTTTAATAGAAATATTTGGATCGCCAAATTACGATAATAATTCGTATAACGGGAATATCAAGAGTCGATTAAATTGGTTTTTGAGAGCCGATACGCCAGCGATTTTCAACCAGAGTGCCGTGAGAATTTTTGGAGACATCCGATGCCTAACTATTCGGTTTATCTTTGCGCGTCGAGTACAAAAACGACTATCCCGAACCAAATGTATTATACTTCTTGTAATTTTAGTTGTCTTTCTGTCGACTTTCGGTAATCGGTTTATACGTGCCACGAGATGAATGAAGTTAATATATAACGAGATATAATACGAATAAAATAAAATATAACGCGACGATAAGACTGACATTCGTAACTGTCTATAGACTCGTCTTGTTGCTTGAAATGTTCTTTACGTTCAGATTCTTGATTTCTGAATTAAAAGTCAAATTCAGAAATTAGATTCTTCTAAATTAATAGAAAGGCGTCTGACCTTAATTATACGTGATGATATTTTACTTAAAAATATATATAATAATATACGTATGATTTTATTAGAAAATTCAGTCGTCCATTATCGCCAGGGAGTGGTACAGCTTCAAAAGTTTATTGGAATTCAATAGGAATTATGGTCCGTACCACGTCCGTCGCCGTGCTATACTGATTGTGCTGGAGAGTCTCCAAGGCCATCCAACGAATGGGTCTGTTCTCGTTATCACCGAGACAATGGTAATCCTGAGGGAAGAGATCTCGCGCCAAAGCCGTATCAGCTAATCGCACGCGAAGACTGCTTGGCTCGATCAAACAGTTTCTGGCAGCGATATCCCTGGAAACATATTGTCGGTTATACAGGATGTTCCAAACCTTCTTTCCAGTCAAACTTTGTGTCAGCATGTTCTATGGTATAAATGGTACGGATACGAGAAAGCTGTTATACAGGATGATTTGGAAGCCGTAACATAGACGAAAAAAATGTAGTTCCTCGCGTAATTTCTTTGCATACGTTCCATTTACAACAGGCTGTTTCCGTGTCGTGATTTTCAAATCATCTTGCATAAATATAGTTTGATCGACATAATTTTAACAGAAATCGAAACGAAGGATTAAAGCACGTCATTTTAAATCTCTTCGGGGATGCGTTTACCGAACACGTTTATTTCTTATTCTTTGGTTATTTTTTAATCGAGACAGATAATTTTGGAAAATCTGCTAAATTGGCCTGCAATTACAATGTCGGCATATGTAGTTACCATACACGCGCTTTATTACAATTTTTATTCGCGCATTATCTTTCGAGCGTCAAAGATACGATCGATCAACCACAAATATACTTTCGCATTCGTCGATCTTATGAAAACAGTACTTTATAATTCCATTTGAGAAGCAGAACTCGTTTACACATTGTTTGCATAATTTACACCTACTGGCAACGAGTGGTATTTGCGTATCTTAGTCACTGTCTGTGACAGCAATTCAGTTCACATTCTAATCAATCTACCGAATAGAGAAATACGTAGATGCAATCACCTGTGCAGGAGCCCTCGACCGTGCAAGAATGCCCCTGCTCTAGCAACCTGCGCGCCAACGTGCACCAAGTCCCTGGTCCCAGGATGATGGTTTCCGTCGGTAAGGTACAACTTCAAATTTAACTCGCCTGGCGAACTCGTGTATGCCAATAATGGACAAGAACTATCCAGGCAGGCGGCGGCCAGCGAAGCTATGTTTGCATGCACTAATCCTGCCAGCTGCGAGCCCTCGACCACCAGCAAAGAGGCTTGATAAGCCGATGCCACTTCTAAAATGATCAACATCTCTTATTAATTCCTGCAGTAATTTCTGTTATCCTTCGTGTTATCGTTCGGAACGCGTTCGGAAATCCTAAAATTTAGGCTATAAGATATTAAACAATTTATAATAATTACGACTTTCCGATTACTTTCGTTGTCTTTAATCAATAGAATATGTTCATTTTGTAACAGATTTTGTTGAAATATTTTCCTCGTTTCGTTTCATCGTTTTCTTTCTTTGTTCCGTTTTACGAATCTGCGGCAGATACATGATTTTCTACCTTATCGCGCGTCGCTAGCCTAGAGTAGTGCAACTTGCGTTCAAATTTGAACACCTGTACGCGTAATTGAAAATGAAACTATCGAATAATATTTTCAATTTTTCGTATCGACGTTGATAAAGTTGTTCGATGTAGCACGTAAACATACGCGTATAAATCACCTTGCGACATTTTATTCGATCTTAATTAACATATTTATCGAAATAATCTTTGAATACTTTAGCAAATCGTAAGTTACTCAAACATGTGTTACAAGGAGTTTCGAAAGTAAAACTTTGTATAAAAGAAATCTTTCATCGTGAACTTTATTAATATCGTGTTGGTTGATAGAACGACACATTGTCGAATTTGTCTGATCGTAAAAGATTCGAGCATCAAGCCCTTGCTGCAACCTACTTATGTACTCGCGAAACCTTTCAAGATATTCCAACGATTTGTAACGATGTTCTAATTAATTTAAAAAGCTAAGAAGAAAAAGTACTTTGGACGGTATCGATTTATTTCGTAAAAACATCAACGACTCTCTTACTATTCGTAAAGCGACGAGTCGTTACTATTGCCAAAGCCCGATATCACGGCTCTCCAACACGATACTAATACATCGATACCTGTGACTGTCTTTATGATGACTTCTTGTTCACGGCCAACCAATTCCAAGGTACCTTTGTAGACGCGTCCGAAGGTGCCCTCCTGTACGAGATTGCGACAGTAGAGCGCAGACCTCGATACCGCGAGTGCCCTAGCCTTCTCGCAAGGATCGGTCGACTATAAATTAACAGACAGGACACGGAGGTATTAAGCCTGATGCGCACAGACACCAAAGAGATTCCTAAACAATTTGCAACCGTTCTCGGCGTCTCTCGATCGCGTCACACGGCGTCTGCATAATTCATCACAGAACAAAATCCCTTCGCGGGCAACTCATTAAAAAAGCATTTGTCGCCTGTAACAGGATACGAAAGAGGTCGCCAAGTCCCCGAAGGACAAGAAGAATGGCAAGAAGAAAAAAAGAGAAGGACCAGCTTCCCTTCGCTCCCTCCCCTCTTCCCCCACGTCCGGCCGTGTCATCGTTATATCGTCGTTTCCATCGTAGCCACATTCCCCTTTGTTCCTCAACGGTTTTCCAGCCGTTCCTGCGTTGCGAAGCGTAGGACAGCTCCGACGGGGAGCAAACAGGGCTGCAGGGAGACCGGTTATTCATTAATTTCAATTTTCCGGAGTTTTGCCTTCGGCCCCTCCCATTCCATTTGCACGCGTCTACGCGTGCACCGAGCTCTGTACGTGTACGTGCGAGACCAGCGACACTAGCGAGCAAAAAGAGGCAGAAGACGATGGAAAACCATTGGCGGCGTGCAAATTACCGGAGGGCGTGCCCGATTTGAAAAGTAACGCGATCACCAAGTTGAAAAGAAAGATTCCCCGAGCCGGAGTAGGATGTCGCGGTTGAGATCGTTCGTCGAAACTTCGACGACAACGTTCGACGAGGATACAGTCGGCTAATATCACGACTTACCGTGCTCCGTAATTCTTATCCGACGCGACGACCGAAAAAAAATCTACTTCCAGCTAGCTTCTTTCTTCCGCTTTGTCCCCGCTGGTTTTCATTACCGCGTTTCGTTCCGCTCGTCGGTTTCATTCTCCGTTCTCCTCTCGCCGGTTTCAGTTTCTCCCTTCCTAATTTTCTTTATCGCTTTTTTCTTTTCTTCTTTTCGACGCGAGAGAATTCTTGCCCTGCTCGTTTTTCGCTTCTACTTTCTCTCTTTTCCGTTTGTTAATGAAAATGCAATGAGACAATTTAAAATCGGCTAGCGAGCATGCCGAGAGACTTATAAAGGACCGTTGCGGAATTCGAAGCGTGGAATTTGGAACGCGGAATAAGCTTATAAATATAAATAGAAGCGAGAAGCGCACCTTTGTTTAACTGATAATCGCAACGCGAAGCGACACGGACCGGCGCGCTGCGGTATGGAGAGAGAGAGAGAGAGAGAGAGAGAGAGAGAGAGAGAGAGAGAGAGAGAGAGAGAGAGAGAGAGAGAGAGAGAGAGAGAGAGAGAGAGAGAGAGAGAGAGAGAGAGAGAGAGAGAGAGAGAGAGAGAGAGAGAGAGAGAGAGAGAGAGAGAGAGAGAGAGAGAGAGAGAGAGAGAGAGAGAGAGAGAGAGAGAGAGAGAGAGAGAGAGAGAGAGAGAGAGAGAGAGAGAGAGAGAGAGAGAGAGAGAGAGAGAGAGAGAGAGAGAGAGAGAGAGAGAGAGAGAGAGAGAGAGAGAGAGAGAGAAAGAGAGAGAGGTTTTCCGGTAGTTGACGGGACGCAATAATTTCGTTATTATGGAAAGCAAAGCGGATGCTTCCATGTTGCTTTCGCCATGGTTTAAACGCGATAGCCGGCACCGCTGCTAGGCACTTTTAATTATATTGTTTGCAAACAGTAACGAGGTTTTCTATGGCGAAGTGAATTACGCCCGAATGCGCCGTGTGCTATAAAAGTAAGACGCTAATGATGTTATCAAATGCTTCGCTTTGTTCGCCGATATAACGCAGCAGTGATTAGATTATTAGAGCACTTTACGTGCAAGTTACGCTTTTGTAGTTTAATGCTATGACGCAGGCTTTATCAAACCGCGTAGCAAATCCATGGCTATAATGCATGGTCTCTGTTTCAAAGTTCTGCTTAATTTGTTCCACGTTTTTCTTCGTGCGTTTATAAAAAGTGTCAAATAGATCGATTCGACATAGTATTATATCACTGTCATATACGTATACATATACGCCATATTGGCCATAAGTGTGCTATATAATAATATTAAAGGTATACGTAAGTATGGAAACATGCTCGTTATGTTATGTCGGAATATTCTAAATTCCAACTATCTTAATCGGTATTTCATATTACAACACACGTACGACGAAAATTAAATAACAGATTTATGATAAAATAATACCGAAAATAAAAGCAATGAAAGCAAAAATATCCCACCTGCTTGTACTAGATTATATGTGTAAAACATCGGTAGGTATCCCACTGCTCCCTCATCAACGCGTGGTTATTACTGTGTGGTAAAAGCCTTAATATATGCATATGTCAAGGTTAAGTTCACAGAGACTAAATTTCTTTTTCTAAGAATATTTTTACGATATTTCCAAATCACGTATCTCAAGAACTAGGAAGAAAAAATTATCGCAAAATTCGAAGCGTGCGTCATCTAGGAACGTACCCGTTTACAATCTACGAGAAAATAAATGGAAACGATCCGTGCTGTGTAAACTTTTATGTACGTGTGGCGATGTGATACATCGTCAAACAAATAAGTAATAAATAAGAATAAAATATACGTAAGGCGATAGGTTATCGTACAATGTTAAGAAGAAGGAAACCGTCGTGTGGATTAAATCGTTGAAATTCTGTAGGAAAGGTGTGTTTTCGCTCGATATCACGTTTCCTATATGTCACGAGTATATGCCGGTATTACGATTCGATTGCAAATTGGAAGCAGATATCGTGGGCGACAGTGGAAAATGACGCAAACGTGGTAAATGAGATTTCGGAAAACGAGTAATAAATATTATCCCCCAACGTTGATTATTGTTATTTGTTTCGTGCTCGGCCGTGTGGCGATTGCTTTGCTCATCGCTGAATTGCTCATCGAAGCAAATAAAATTTTTCAATGCTAACAACTACGTCCGACGCATAATTAACAAGCGGCTGCTATTAGTTTGAAAAAACGGATTCGTAATTGCCGCGAGAAACGAATGGGAAGAGGAATTGAACCGGCTGCAAACGTATTTTTTTGTAATGAATGTAGACTGACGAGTCGCTTTTATACAATCACAATCGGTCTATTGATTTAACGGCGCCAGCAGCGAACTTTTTGCCGGACGCGTACAGCGATGCAGCAATTCGATTTATTTATCGAGAGGGTCTCGTCAAACGTCGTAGTTTGTTTCCCGTTGGAGCCACTTTGAAAGCATCGTTTTTAGGCGCCGTCTAGCCTCCTCGTCACGAGGGTCGTGTTTGAAACTTTTAATTTCAATCCGGCTAATTAATAATACAGTTTCCGATTTAACTACATTAAACCATCGACCATGGGACGAAAGACGATATCGTTCGGGTGGGAATTCGCTAAACCAGAGAATCGACTTATACGACCTATTCGGCGCGTTTGACGGTGACAAGTTTAAGAGCCGACTACGTCGCTCTTTAATTCTCGGCTAGATAGAATTTTATTCGGCAAAGAAACGAAGAAGTAAATCGATAAGAGAGGGGAGAGCGAAAGGATATAGAAATTGAACGACACGTGAAACGTGTATCTGGTTTAATCGAGTTCGATTTTAGGAATCTCGATATCGCTCGTAAGAGCTGACAGAATTTATTAACTCGAATAAATGGAATCGCATATCGAAACTGAAGTATAGAGTAACTTTACAACAAATTTACAATTCGTGTCAGTGTGTTTAAGCAGTGTTCGACGACTACGTTCGACGTTAGGTACAGGTACGATATAGATACCGTCGAAGCGATCGGAAGATAAAGCGAAGACACTCGACATTTCCTTCTGGCACCGAATGTTTTCCAACGTTCCTACGTCGTCCGATTATTTTTAAACGGAATAAAAGTTCTTCGTTACACAGAATCCACCTAGAAGCTTCATGAATAACTCTAGAGGAACTGTTTAAATAATTCAAAGCTTCAATTTCAGTACACGAGTTTACACGAAGAAGCTCGATCGAAGATAAAGCGACGAGAACTTCTCGAGGTAACACTGACCCGAATCGTCGATTCGAGGGCCGACATTTACAATTAAGATACAAAACGTTAAGTGCGGGATATCAGCCAATGCATGTTAAGCAGTTTTACCGTAGCTTCGCCGTAGCGTAGTCTCGCGCACCATCGACTACGACTATTTTCTTATCTATCTTTCGATAAGGATAGGGTGGTTACTCTCCGCGTCTATCGGGAAAATCAGGAGGAAAACGCATCTGTTCTGAAACCGAAGGTCCCCGGTAAACAGGAACAGTAATGGCTTCTTCAGCAATGGGATCTCAAGCGTATCGTTTTACAGGAGGGATAAGACGTTGCCGCATTACATGACTGGCTGAGTTTGAAGAGAGCTCGCGAACGAGCGAACGAGCGAACGAGCGAGCGAGCGAGCAAGCGAGGGAAAGGGTGCGGAATCAGGCCGGAGGATAAGTTTTCCCTAAGGATCGTGGTTACATAGAAATATATGTTTATGTGTGTGCGTATACTTCGCGTCTGAGGTGCGCGTACTTACGTCTGTACGCGTTTGTATAAACACTCCTCTCTTCGTGGTTCTTCGTGTCGGTGACGCACAGTCGCCGGTATAGCAGGAGGGTGGCGTTTCAGACGAGGACATCGAGGGTTCAGGCATACGCGTATACCCGGTAAATTGATCCAAGATCAAAGCCGAAACAATCACAGGACCCACTTGCAGTTTCTCTCTAGCTTCTCTCCACCTTTCACCCTGATTCACCCCCTTTCTCTGCCTCTCTAACCGCGTGTGTAACCTTCGTCCGCCCCCTTTGCCAACCTCCTCTTTGAATAGCCGAGCACAGGTGGTACCGAGCCGTTTCTTTTTCCCGGGAAATTAATGTAAAACGCTCGTTTCGAGCCGGAAAGTGCCGGCTAGACTTTGTTACGTGAATCGAGCCATGCCCGGCTGCTCTTTCTAAACTCCATTGCATATTTATTCGACATTTGCGCGATCTCTGTTTTTTCCTCCTCCTTCTTCTCCTCGTTCCCTTCCCTTCTATGTTTTCTTTGTTTTCGTTTTAAACACGCACCAAGCGGAAAGGCGAGTCACAACGAGTTGTTAAAGAGGTTATTATTCTAGCTATTTCGCATTTACGGCATGTCGTGCCCCGTACGTCGAGATTTTCACACGTACGTACGTTATTCGTCGATGAATTTGTATCGCGGTATTTTGTTAAAATTGCGGAAATCACGAAATCTTTGTAGAATCTCGTGGAATGTCACGAAGTGTTCAATCTCTAGTAACCTTATCTTACGTCTCCTGTTTACAGAAAACTATAATTAGCTACAAGGAATTAGCTACTTTTACCACTGGCGCTCAAGTGTATACGGTATACGCTTCAGTAGTATAGAAAGAGATAAAAACTGCGATAAAATGTGCTAAAATGCGAATTTCTTTCCTAACGATGCCACAATTTTTCGATAAGTCGCTCGAAAAGAAGAGTTCTTATCGAACAAAAGTACATCGTCTCCTTTCACACATCCTTCGATTTATGTACTTGATTCCATTGAAATTTGAATTCTAAGCGATCAAAGAGATCAGCGACTGAAGCGTGCCTGGTCCGAAAGCAACGGCGGAAGCGAATAGAGGGATCGTGTTCTTTAATGGAGAACGCGAGAAGGTGAAAGGGCGAAAGGAAGAAGTCACGACCTCGCCGCGCCCGCGCTCGCGCCCGCTTCCCGTCCTCGTCGTTTCACCGCGTCGCCTCTATACGTCTTCTCGAAGCAGAATAAAAATTGTAAATTGTCGATTTACTCGCTTTATTAATTATTCACTCAGGCACCGATGATCGATTACACAGTTACACTCGGTTTCCCTTTGTACCCACGTTGGCATATAACGAGGGTCTTATATTTGCATTTATATGGAATTAAGAATTCAAATTAGGCAACGACGATGATGGTTTTTTAATTGAAAGAATAATATCACAGGAAAATTTCTTTTAATCGTCTGTCAAATCGTATAACTGTATGTATATTAATTTCGGCTAGAGAATAATATTTTACCTTCGATCGTCTTTCGTGTCAATTTGCGTCAATCGTGACAAACGTAAAAAGGCAGTGTTTAGATATATGATCTTGTGCTTGAATGTAACGAATTTCTTTTCTTTAGCTTTAATAAAATTCTTTGCGAAGTTAGCCTCCCACAAGGAAACGTATTTTCCACATTCTATAGGTAAACTGGATCGTGTATGACGAAATTTAATTTTTCTAATATTATTTGAAGCTGCGAAGAGATCTAAAATACTTAATACAGTACTTATCGATATTAATACGTTATATAAGTATTTGTCACATAAAGTCGAAACTTTTCGAAATTTCGTATAGATGTCGACTCGCTGTCCACGAAGAATTAACTACATATCTTTGCGTTATATCGAACTTTGCCTTAAATTCCTTTCATATTCTTCGAAATATCGCTTTTGGGTCTCGAAGAAAAAAATTTATCTGACCGATAACTTTTGCACGCTTCCGTACGGTTTCAAAGAATTCCAGGTACCTATAACCAACAAAGTAAGACGAATAAAATGATTGTTCTTCTCGAAAGTCGCGTGGCAAATCAAGTATCGGATTACACGTAGACTCGGGACCAAGAAAAGCAGATCTTACCTTTTCCTCCGGAGGGAATTATCTCTCCGAGGAAGACGGGGCAGGAAGCTTGACAGAAGCGACAAGAGGCAACGGGAGCAAAAGGGGAAAAGGATGCGAAGGAAAAGGGGTTTATCACGTGTACCAATTTCTGGTGAACGGTGTGTGTTCGCTCGGTTAGAAGGAAGTCGTAGGTTGGCAGGTTCGAAGCAGCTGAATAAAGAGCCGAAAGGTTTGAAAGCACTGGGAGGGGAAAGTTGTTGGTAGAAAGTGGCCCCTACGACCACAAATTCGATAAAGTTTTTGAATGCACCTCTCGTCTTGCACGCGAGGCCAGACGAGACCGGCCACGCCGGAGAACAGAATCGTCTCGCAGTCTTCGTTTTCGCTACTGAAAGAACGACGTAGAGAACGAAAAGAGAATACAGGGCGGAGTCCGCGATGAAGATGCGGTCAGGATAGAGAGAGAGAAGGGCTGAGAGAAAATCGGATTTCTCTATGAGAGTTCCTCATCTACCTTCGACTTTGTTTCGCGCACTGCTTCACCGCTTTTAAAGTGCATTACGCTTTATTACGCTAAACGCAATAAACCGACATATCTTTAAAATGTGGTTTCGCTGGAATTTCGATATCGCTGCGTCACATTTGAAAACCCGATTATTCGCATTTTCTATTTTTTGCAAGAGAAGCAGTTTTAAACTTCGGTACGTTGTCAATCGATTCGATATTATCAAAATTGTCTTTTTATTTAGCCTCGCAGCTAAACGTGGATTTTTCGTCCTTTCAAAATTTCTTAAATATTATTTATCATAATATTAAATAATTTTTCTTTTTGTTTTTGTTTTTGAAAGGATCGACACGATCGAGAGATTCATTTAAAGAAACAAAAATAATTCTCGATTCTAGAGATTCAGATTAAAGAAGCAAATAATTGAAAAATTATTTTTCAAGATGTTTTCTATAACAAATTGTAGTATTTCTTATTTGTTGTGTCCCGTTCATCCGGCAGAAGCATATGTTTTAAACAAATTGGAATTCTTCGCCTCTCGCAGTAACGCTTCAACAAGTAGCATGGAACCGTCTCTGTTACAAAGAACCTCTTCGAGCATTTTATTTCGTTTGCCCTGAACAATAGAATACGTAAGTATTATTAAGCTTTCACGATATTTGCCGATCTCTCCTTGCTTGGAGTTGCGCCGGACCTCTCGGAGTGAATATATCGTCTCGATACTTAAACGCGTTTTCAAAAATTTAAACCAACTGCATACGATCTCCGTAAAATCGTATATCACGTTCGATCAAATACAAAATTGATCAGACCGAAGCACGAATGTTTCGTGACACGTAAGGTAGGGCTGCACTCGGTTAAACTCGGAAACTTTAGAGGCAACTCGGCAGCGCATCTCCTGCCTGGAGAGTTTCACATTCCCCCGGTTCGAAACCGACGTATGTAGGTACTTAATGCAATATCTTGCCGAAGTTTCCGTAAAATGATTTTGCACTATACCTGGCTCAGATGCGTCACATGGCTGGAAGCGTAGTAACTCGCTCTGGAACCGCAAGGTCTCGCATAGAGTGGCTCTAGGTCGGCAATGGTTGCGTAACTTCCGGAATTCGCGCTTCCGGGTCGTGGGTCGACCCTAACCAGCACAGAACTTCTGGCTAAGCCGCCGGTGTCTGCCGCCGAATAGCTACAGCAGGGCAGTGTTTTCCTGAAAGAACGGACGATCCTGTAGTCACCGGTTAATGATTATACACGAGGTTAATTATTTCTGCGATGCACGACATGCTTTGCACCGGGACTCGAGTTGCGTGAGTTATAATCGCGAGAGACACTTGCTACCGCTGCGCTGGCTGCTAGCTTTTTTCGCCTCGTCGCTACTTTCGTCCTAATCCACCGAATCGCCTTTGACACCTCCATGCTTTTAACCGAATTTCCAAATAACGCTAGAACAGGGATGACAATCTCTCGTCCATGATAAAATATTTTCCATTTCTTCTCGATGTTCTAACGGCGTAAGAAATGTATCGTTTAAACATTTTTGTTCAAAAGTTTAACCAGAAAGAAGTTGTAGCTTGCCAGTGAAATTCATATTACGTAATGAAATTTTTATAGTTCCACATTTTTATTTCGACGTAATAATAATTTATTCTATGAGAGGAAATAATTCTTTCTTGCGATGTTAATCAGTTTCGGAATCAAGTTTTATGACTTCGTTTATTATTCACGTCGAGTTTCACAATGTCTGCATAAATCCCGAAGATCTTTCTGTGGTTTTTTCCTTAAATTCGTAACTCGACGTAACAGAAGGTTTGCGAGCACATTCGGCAGCGTATCCGGTATGATCGATCCCGTGAAAAGTCCTCGTAGCGCGTGAAATTACCGCTTAGCCTGCGGGGAAAAATTTTCAAAGAGGGTCTCGTTCCCCTTTGCAGCGAGATATTAGAGCAGAAAGAGGCTCGAAAGCGGCCAGATAGAAGACGAGGAGAACGATAAACGGAGGTACGGATGCCGAGAAAACTAAAATACCGGGAGAGAATTCGCGGAGGAACGGTAATTCCGATATTTCGTCGGATTTATTGGCCGTTTTGCGCATGTAAATCCACTACCGCGATTCGGCAAAAAGGTGAACGAAAAAGAGAAACACATTGCGCAAACGATTTCAAATATTCCACGCTCGGTTTTTTTCCCCAATTCTTTGTATTCATGTCCGAGGACGGGCTTATATTTTATGCCGTAGTACGAGTTCGGATTTAGCATGGCCGATTTACTTTATTTCGCTGCTAGTGACACATTCGTGCGCGATAATTTCTCTATAAATACGTAGCAAATACATAGCAAATACGTAGCCGTAATTTATCGATGCATTAAATTAAAAAACGCTGTTCAATTTGTAACGTTCACAGTCGACTTTATCGCTACAGGCTATTTCAGCATTGATACATGGATCGTTATGCATGAACCATATGTTTACATCCCGTTCAATTTATTTGAAGTTACCGACATTTTTGGAACTAGTTCCGCGTTTTAACAACACGCACAAAAAAGCTGCTTTAGTTTCTTTGTAAATTTTCAAATGTATATAATTGTTATAACCGAATGTTAGCTATTCCGTTTAATTACGACGATCAATAATAAGATTTTGATATTTTTATTTTATTTTAAATATTCCTAACGATAAATATGTCCGATATACAGTAAATTTTATGTCTTTTAATATACCTGATAATCGACGATAAGAGAACATTTAATGGGTAGTATTGGCCTATCGATATATTTCATATGTACCGATCTAATGAGATCATAAACTTGATATTGTACGAAAATAAAATGCTATACGCACTTTTTGCGTAAAGATATTATCAAGAGCACGGGACGAAATATCTACCGTACATGGGATATAAGGAACAAGTGCGAAGAAATTCCTTTTCTCCGTTTGCGAATGGTGTATTTCGCCGCAAAGAACAACCTGTTCTTGTCCAATCTGAAAATCGTGCTTTGCGCGTAGAATGGAGATCGACATGGTAACGGGAACGAGGGTGCAACGGTGGATGCTGTGTTTACTCGAGCGGACGGATGTAAAATCTGCAACCTCGCCCCCGAAGGAGACGTACAAGGGCCGGAGAAGGATCCTCGTTTTCCCGCGCGTTATCAGCCTGGAAAGACTCAAAAGAGCTAATATATCCCTCGAGGGACAATTGGCCCATGCCGCGCCGAGACTTCCCCAAAGCGAAAGACGCCGCGGGAAACGAGGTAAGGAGGCATTTTCAGAAAAAGAAGGGCTACTTCTGTCTCCCCTTTCTCCTAAAATTTCCGTTCCATAAAAATATTCCCCTGTTGGGGGACCATGATAAAAGTGCCCACTCGATGTATTAAAATTTCAGATTACAGCCTTAGTGGTCGTGAACGTTCGAGGAACGGTCGAAAATTCATTGGAAACTGTTATCGGAACTGCAACTACTGTTACTTTGCGAAATGAAAACCGAGCGAAACATATTCGCAATGTACTTCTTAGTAAAATGTAATATCTTAATAGAAGATACCGTCTTTGCAACTATGTTGGAATCTATGTAAGAATCGATGGTTCACCCAATACTATTTACAAAATATAATACGCGCTGTTACGTATTGTATAAATGTAAGAGAGCAGAATGTATTTTCGTTAGGTACGCGCGTTTCGATGATTTCAAAAAAAAGCTTCAGCGAAAAAGGAATATGAATCGAAGGTAAAGCATGGAAAGTTTTTTGTTCGTTCGTAATAATTGAGCTATAAATAGCTATAGACGTATGCTAATAGCGACATAAAGTAGATTCTCCTTGTATCAAAATATTCAAGAAATTCGATAGCTACGCTCCAAAACTATTTGCACTTACAAATTACAAATCCGATGATTAAAATATTACAAGCTTCTACATATTGTTCGCGCAACAGAAATCTATGATGGATAATTTATCACTTCTCAATTAATATTATTACCTTTCGACCGATATTATTAATTAGCAAATTATTGTACAACAGGCTCGTGGTGTAACATAACGTAATGATTTACTGAATTGTACGATCCAACTACGAACCGTAAACCCTCGTATCTATAGAGGTATTTTATACAAAAAAACCGTAATAACTACACAAACAAAAAGTTAGTATTTCGAACGTGAAATTATCAGACAATTCTGGAAATAACGAATTTATCTTTATTATGATCGATTAATCGTTGCGTTATTATACTACTTTTGTTGCAACACTCGTCTTTCTAATCTGTGTACTTGAGAACAAAAAAAGAAGGACATTCAACGTTACTCGAACGCGGAAGTGAAAATTGATATATTTACGAGACTGACATAAAAAGGATAATACGTTGAATGAATAATACATTTGAACACGACGATACTCTTGACCATAAGAAAACAGTAGTAGAAAAGGCAGAAATAGATACGTATTAAAATTTGCGGCTCGGTGATATTCGTCGTCAAAAAGGATCTTGAACTATTTGCTTCTTGAGAAAAATTCACGACGAGGAGCTTCAAAAGATTTAATAATGCCCGTCAGGAGACAATTGGTCTACTTTGGGGGAAATCGGAAAGGCGGCGTACAAAGGGAACGAAGATGAAAGGTCGGTGGAAGTTTTTGCCTTTTGATCTCATTTTTATAATTTTATCGTGCAATGAGATTCGTTTCATCGATATCGGACAATCGAGCAGGAAAGTATTCAATTCGTTAATACCAGATATAACGGAGTTTCAATTGAACGTGTAATTGAAGTACCTACTTACGTAACCTAGAGGCTCTCCTACCTACCTGCCGTTAAGTAGATTTCTCGTACGCTCGAGCGTTAATACGTGCATTGCAAAGCGCGTCTCTTAATTAAAGTTAGACTTAGTACGGGTTTTAATCTAATAACGCGCTTCGTAGAACATTTATTTATAATACCTCGCAGGGTATTTCTGTTAACGAAACTATTTCATGCGGCATCTAATTCGAATACATATTTCCAAGGTATTCTATTTGCAGAATCGAGAAGAAGGCGATTTCTAGACATTAAATTTTCACAACGATCAGGTGACACGTTTGTGGTTTTTCGGGTTTCGATCGAGTTTTTAATTAGATCGGCGAATTAAAACTTCAGCTTCAGGTTTCAGGTCTGTCTTGAAAAAGCGAACTGGAATACCCGTGAAATGTCAGAACAAAGCGCAATGCACTGTTCAGTTTTCATGGATATGCCAAGAAGGTGATTATACACGAAGAAAGAAGTTAAAGATACGGAATACGATTTTCCTCGTACGAGAACACGTTTTTAAGAAACTTGATTAATTTTGCTTGATTTTTATTCACGCTTAGACACGCGTCAAATCAAATGTACAATTTTGAAGAAATTACAAACATCGAGCGAATAACAGGAAAAATTGTTTCGGTGTTTCGTAAAATAAAGCATGTACACCTTGGAATATGTTCGTAGAAATTGTACTTCCATCATTTTTGGACCTACTTTTGCTCATGAAACTGCCTTGCTATTTGGCTATCTTATGTCAATCCTGTAGGATGGAAACAGAGTGCGATATAATTTGTCTATTAATTTATATATTTGAATCATCTACAAAAATTATAGGAACGAAGTACAAGCAGTTAATTATAACAGAGGAGAAACAAAGATTAGAAACGAATAGAACGGAGTGGATCGCGTTGCCGCAAATTTGAACGATACTTTTTTTTTTTCGTAAGTCGCGTGAAAAATCGCATGCCAAAAGTCTAGGAGGAACTAATATATTCGGAGGAAGTATACGACGAATCCGTATAAAGAAGAGAGAAGCTGGAGAGGTAGTAGAGAAGCGAGTACAAGGGAGGTAAAAGTTCTCCTTTCTTGAAACTTTGCCTCGGATCTTCTTTTACCGCAATCTTCTTGGATAAGTTGCTTTGCTATATACGTATAGCTAATAATTTATGCATCATGAAATAGGTTATAAAAGCTCGATGGAAAAACTATCTTTATACGATGTTCGGTTAATGTCTGATATGAAACACGTACTTTATCACAACGGTATCTTTCGAAGTTTATAGTAACTTGTTAAGCATACAATATATACAGACATGAAATTTTTGTAACTATCGCTTCTCAACAAACAAATTACTATCTATATAAAAGTGAAACGTCTAACGTAAGAGAAGAGTCGAAATAATTTTTACAAGCTAGGCGAATCGGACGCGAAGAAAGAAAAATTGCGGTATAATGACTTCACGAACCCTTCGGAAGCTTTCATTCTAGACGGATGCGAAGCATTTCAGTCGATCGGTACAAATAAGAGGAAGCATTTTCCCATGATGCCAGACCGAGCTAGTTCGTTTCGTACATCTGCAAAAGAGACAAGTGGTTCGCACAGAGGGAAAGACGAGTGAAGCGGAAGCGAGACAGCAGGGGAAAAGGCGAGGAACAGGCGAAGATGGAGAGCGATTCCATCCCTCTGAATTCGCTGCTTACATTCTCTCCCGCAGGAGTCCTCTTTTGAACGGGGGCGTGTAGCCGTGCAATAAAATGTCGGCTGCCGTGGCAAGCGACCGACGTATCACCGGGGCTTATTGAAAGGATATTTCATGCGGACGAGTTCCTATCCAGCTTATCCCATGAATTTCCCGCGGGGGTGTAGAAATCTTTCTCTGCCCTTCTGTCTCTTCCCTACGGTGAACCGGGCCGAGAGACCAGCCCAACTCGGCAGTTGCCGTATCCAGCGGAAAATTCACGACAACCGGCAACGCGCGTCGACGACTTTTCACTCTCCGGTTGCTGGTGGGAAATGAGAATGCGCCCGGCGCGCGCGACGATACGTGAAAACCTGCCAACCGTGCGAATCTTATGAGCAGTCAGTGGCCTACGCGTCGCCGCGTTCCAACGTCCCGTTTGCCGCTGATTTTCATTTATTCGCTCGTGTCCGATTCTACTCGTGACATGATCAGATTAGATCGTTTAATAAGCGGCTTTTATCTTCGCGGGAAGATACGCTTATTCGTACGTTTACGACATTTTCAAATGCCAATCAGAATTTAAAGCACTACTGAAAATATCTATGTACCCTTCGTCTATACGAATATCGTAAGACGATCGCCTGTACTGCATTTTGCAGTACTGTTCCGATTTCCCGACGGTGGCACTACAAAATTTTCCTGTTTGCATTTAGAGCCTGCGTACTGCTCGCTTAAGACTACTAATTAAGAGGGACCGTAATACGTATATTTTAATCAGTCCTTTAACGTTTAATTCGTAGACAATAAATATTCATTAAGGAATAGCGATTTAGTTTAGTACAAAAAACTTTGTCTTATTTTTCACAGCGAATGATAAAACAGCGTTGTCGTAAAGTTTCTTACTTATGCACAAAAGTATCGATAATTTCATTTGTATCGTGACGATTTATTCGATGACAAACACTTTAAATACGAATCTTAAAGGTTAGTTGTTAAAACATAAAACGGTGCAGGACACGCGTCTGTTTCATTATCAGCACATAGCTTACATTGCGTCAGAAATTTTAATGCTTACAAATTGAATTTTGACGCGAGTTTCCGATATACTTACTTTATTTAAACTTCATTTAAACGTCTAACTACAGAGATTAATATTAATTAGCCGCTTTGGTCTTATAATTAATCGACTTATTTTTGTTAAATTAACAATAGATAATTAGAAAACGGGAAAGGAACGAGAGAAGAAATACTCGTAAAGCTTTTTGGTATTCGTAGCTGTGAATTTGACGTAATGAAAGAAAAGAATTATTGAAATATAGCGTCAAGATTCGCAACTCGCAAAGTGTATTTTTTGACCATTACTTTCGTCTAGCCGAGTTAAAAATAAATTTCCTGGGTAATTCGAACGTGAAACCGGAATTCGTAGCAAAGTGATAACCGGCATATGGAAATTGTATATACTTACTGGGATTCTTGAATGCGAGCCTTGCTGTTGCGAATGTACAAGGCGCTTGCTACGCTTCCAACGACTAATATCAAGGCGCACGCACATGTTGCGGCGATATAAAGAGCTCCAGCACCATTCACCAAAGGTCCTGGTTCCAAACGTACCGAATCGTTTCTGGGAGGTGCTTGCACTCCTGCAACAAAAATCCTAGTAGTTTCGTTTTCGTATCTTTGAGTAATCCGACTTATCGTTTCTATTATATCTAGCCATGTATTTCGTGCTCCGTAATACACGAATTAAAGCGTGGAAATTACGTATGTACATCTCTGCAGATAAATATTACATTTGCTGAAAATGAGATAAATAACGAGTTGATAATAGTTTTAGATACAACGTTAAAAATTTTAAGAATTATTATCTTCTCTAGAATTTTAAATTAAGATATATGTATATAAAATAAAGATAGATGGAGATTAAATATAGGTTCAAAAATTCATGTATTCGATATTATAATACAAATTGTAGCTTTATGATTTTAAATTTTGTTTTTTCGATCAAAGATTTTAAAGTCGAAATACTAACAATTTCGAATAAGACGCGACAAAAAAATTTTCAATAACACATCTTCTATTATTAATATACATACATTATAAGCTCCATTCTATAGAAAGTTATTAGATTTCCATAAATTAATATTATCAAAAGCTCAAACATATATGATATATGCAATTTTTAACCTTGGTCAGAGGCGCCGCTTTTGTCGATCAACCGATTAAATTTATATACACATTATTAACGATAACCTATAGTCAAGGAAACACATCGCGCGACGTTGAAATCTCGTTAAAAAATTTGGCCATGCACTTTGACAGCGTAATAACAGAGAAACGCAACCATTAACATAGATTCGTGAGCGATTTAACGAGCGGATTTTCCCGTACTGGCGTAAAATAATTGGTATTACATTCAGAAAATGTGTTCAAGCCGCGTTACGCTGGCACGGTGCATTCCGTGGCAAGTAAGACAGGTGATTTTATCGAACAATCGTTGACACGCTGTTCGATCGTTCGTTCTACGTGTATCGAATCACTATCGAACAGCAGCATGGAGCAACCGCGGAATAGCAGATTAAGAGTGCAACTCGAACGCAAGGAAGAACATCTTTTTGAATCGGCCCTCCTGTCCTAGTGGTTCGCCACAAACTACGACGAGTTTTCTACAAGGCACGGTCGGTCATCCTTGGAACCTCGTCGTATTTCCTTTCACGTCTGTTTGCGCTTTCCACCCTGCGTAACTCTTTACCGGTTGCCTCCTTTGAATCATTGCCATCTCGAGTGCTAAAAAATAGAGTCTTAGCATTTTCCTCCGGTCGTTTAAATTAAACGATTTAAATCGAATACGTGATTCGTGTCTTTTATGAAAATCTGTTTGTTTTATCGATTAGATTTGTATCTCGAAATTTACACCTCGAAATAAGAGACGTTCATATCGTTGCGATTTCGTTGGAAATTGATAAGCTTCTGTTGCGTTTTCCACGCCCGGTATTCCTTTGATTTAAATTTCCGTTCCTTATCTTTCAGGATCTTTTCTGTTCCACAAACGGGATCGTAAAGGTAGGGTGAACTGTAATAAATTGCACCGGTGCTTCGCTTTGATTTCGAAACTATACTCTTATTCTTTGAAGACATTCTTCTGTTTGTTCGACGTTTTTAATGAAAACCCGAGCTCCGATTCCTTTAATAAAGGTAGAGTTATACAGGCCACAGCCTTAATTTTACCTTTGAATCAGATTTTTCGATGAAATAAGTAACCGAAAATTTGTAAGATCGCACGAGTAAATGCATGGTTCCAGCGTATTGTAGCAGAAAACGTACACAGAGTGTAAATAAAAAAGTTGGCGCTACTTGCAGGATCGATTCTAGATATCGAGACAACGATATCAAGATAAGAATATCAAGACGTAGTCGTTCGAGACATCTCAATATGAATAAATCGGATGACGAATTTCTCCCTATTTCACTTGTACTTGGTGTTTCTCATTCTGAAGCAAACGATACGGCAAAAAGATAGTTTGTAATTGATTTTCCTGTTAGCTACGAATTGATAAAACACTACGTTAATGGTTTCTTATTAACGGTTGTTTTCCACCGTACCTACTATATTGTTACATGTTTCCACTTCCTGGACTTGAATTCTTAGGAAGCTCCATTTACTTATTTAACGGTAAAAGTACACCGCTCTGCGTATTTATCTAGATATAAAATACACGAATAGGTACCCTTTAATACGTGGACATAAACCTTTGGAAACTACACGCTGGTAGTTGGCTTTGCAGCCACCCCGCTTGGTACGCTTTAGAAATTCATTAAGTTGATTTAGGTCATGAGTGTTATCACGCGTATTTTATACAACGATATAACTCGAGTTTTGAGCCAAGTACAATTTTAATCAACGTGTTCGAAATATCTTTAGCTGTGTTCAGTTTTACACTTAAAATATTTATATTAGTAATATAATTTATATTTTTATATATACCTTCCTAGCAATCTCTGGCATGTGTTAATTAAACGTCTAATTTTAAAAAATAACAAGTTTCGCTTTCGCAAGAACAATCATATGTATAGGTGTGCGATTTCGTGAACGATGTCAAAGATAAAGAAACTGACGTCGATAACGTAAACCACGCGACGTACAAGTAAACACTGCAAATACCAGAAAACATATGTAACGTCTATTTTGTTTAAAATAAAGTTGCGTCGAAATTATTTTCAATTTATTTTCTAAACGTCATATTTTAAAAAATCATACTTTGACCTTTCACATACGCCATTACTACATAATTCATCATCTTCGACTCAACGAGAACGTAGACACGCTTAATAAATTAACTTACCACTTTCATGCGATAAAACACGCTAACGTATAGCTAGAAAACATATCCATTAAACTTCTCCTTCTTCTTAAATATTATAAATACACTTCGTACATTAATTTAGTTGACTTTTGCAACTCATTCTCGATAACTTTGCTTCCGAAACATTCGCCCCTGTTCGCCGCGCACTTACACGCGCATGTTTTCATTCGATTAAACTACATCGTAATTTAAAACTGCAGTTTTTTCAAGAACGTATTCTCGCAAAGCGATGTAAAACTTTCTTAAGCATATTACCTGGAACCACGAGCAAGCAATTTCTCGATATTACAAGGATTTCTTACCGAAAGTACGAGCCGCTGAACAACGTAAATTCGCGTCCCGCTTTTAACGAATCGCATCCTTTTTATCCGCCTGCACTATCTCGTTTTGTTCCAGACAAAGTGGCGGGAAAAACAGGATTCGTGCCGTTGCCAGGATAAATAACGCAAAGCAGACAGACGAGCTTTACACGATAACGACGGAAACGTTCGCGAGACACTCGGACGAGGAAGAATTTTCTGAAGCGCGATGAGATGCGCGCAGGGACGAAGGGAAAGGAAGGAAGAACGAGAGGGGGCGAAGGGAAGGCCGGTGGAAAAAGTTAAATAAATCGCGCGGGCTCGTAGCTGCTTTTCCCGCTACGTCCAACTTCTTAGAGGAATCTTTTCTTATTTATTTGCAGGAACCGACATCTTTTTAAAATGTCCCCTCTTACATGGCACAATACTCACCGAAGCAGACCACGCGAAAAACTTTTTTAAGTAACTTTGGTTTTCATTCTTTCCGCCGCGCGATCGCAGTTGCAAGTCGCTTTCACGAGAGGCATTACACTTTTGTTGTTTCATCTTTTCGCTTCCCGCGAGGTTAATTGAATTGTTGATAAGTTTACCCGACCCTTAATTGTTCGTTTGCTTGTTCCGCCTAGTTAGCATACGCCGATTTAAATTATGGCATCGTTCGTGGAATTGCTATTTACCGTCGCAGCTAATAAAGAATATTTAACATCCCTTGGTCTTGAGAATTTCCCGCTAAAAATCAATTGCGTCAGAAACACAATTTGCCTTTATTAAATCGACACTACAGGCTGCTCCAAGTTTTTCCAGCTAAACTTCATCGGTATATTCTACGATGAAACACGAGGCAAAAACGTCGTATAAATATAGGTAGTTTAAAACTACGTTAAAAAGCTGTAACAAAAATATCAAGTACAAAGGGAGTGGTAATGCATTTGTGGTTATTATGCCATGAAAAAAGAATAGATGCACGGTCAATGCGAGTACTACGCGTTAATAATCTGTTTCAAAACGTTTACCGTTCGTGCCAAAAGAAGACCTTTTTTCCAAAATTATCGATACATAAAAGCGTAAAATTGGGCAATATTGGAGATCGAAATTGTTTTCTATCAAGTATTTGAGATCTCATGACAGATCTATTTCTTATTTTTAACCAGACTGACACAGCTTACCATACTGACAGAGTTTACCTATTTGAAATACAACGTAAAAGGAAAAATATCATAAAGAAGAAGGAGAACGTATGCGTTACTACCTATCTTTTCTTTCATCAGCTATATTTTCCATTAATCGCCGATTGTTTCTTTTCTCCGAAGCTTTTCTAACGCTTATTTGGTTGGAATAAGTCAGAAATGCACGGTTTCGATTGGCGCAAAAATAATTTCGACGGTTTAGACGATGGTTTAACACGTCCAAAGAAACCGCAGCGCTTGATTTTTAATTAAAAACGTCGAAGGAAGAGATTAACGGTCGGCAAAGCACAAAGGAATCAATTTGCTCGTGCTGCTCGCGGACGGCGTAGGATCGATTAAACTTAGTCTTGGTCGACGCACCGACAAGAAACTCACGGGTTTAAGAACGAGTGCAAAGTCGAGAAAGCGCGTTTAGAGGAAAAGAGGTGTATCTCGGTTAAATCCCAGTAGGCGATGCCATCCGACACTATCAAACAAACCTTAACCGAGATTTACGAAGGTTCAGAATTAAGTCCCTGCGGGATTAATGGAATGACCCTCTTCGAACGGTGTTCTTCGGTGTTCTTTCGCTCAACCGCTCGGCGTCTGCTCTCTTGAAACAAATTTCATCGCAAATTGCGGCGTTTCCCGCGGAGTGAAAAATGCTTTCAATCTCACCGTGATGAGTAATTTAAAATCTAGTTACCATCCTCCGACAACTACCGTGAATACTACTACGTTCCTATTATAAACTTAAAAATTGGAGAATATTCAGTGATCGAAGACAGCGAAATATAAGATTTTACTCATTACATCATCGTATAATATCTGTCCTTGCAATTCGCAATTCAACTATTCTCCATGTTCGAGTAAATATAACGTAAATACAGCGCAGATCAAAAGATTGTATCGCGGATGACACGATTAGCTTTACCGTGAACGATAAAATTCGCTTCTTCTTTTTTCGGTAATGCTGTTCTTAGTACATGTAAGCGACTCGCTGGTGAGTATTTTTAAGGAGCCGGTTTCTTAAAGACCAAGTCCTATATATAAAATTTCTGCGATGTTTGAAATACCATTGCTGTAATATACACGTCGTACAATAACGATAATGAAATTTCTTTATAGAATAGAGCATAGGTAGTACTGTAGTGCTTTACTGTTTGATACTCCAGACTCTGTGGTATGGTTTCTCAAATCGACGTAGTAACGAGACATCGATGATTACTTAAAAAAGAGGTCAGATATTCGGTGTTCCGTCCGCTATATCGAGTAATTTCACTATGATTTTAAGGAGTAAAAATACGTTAAACCGATATACGTAGCAAGAATATTAGGTATGTTAATCTTTGATGAATTTAACGTTCTCGATCGTCAAATTTATACCATGACTACGTGTACATCGACGAGTACATTTAACGTTAATTTGTCGCGATGAAATTACGAAGAACATTTCGATTTATCGGCGGACATGACTTTGTTAATTTGTACTCCCCTGTCGTCCGATTATTGCATAACACATACACTGTTGCCCAGTGGTGAATTGAATAATTTTGTAACGTGATAAAATAATATTATAAAATCTACGTAACTTTATATCACTGAAATTGTTTTAGCTAATACGATTTACCGATATCGTTATCATAGAGATCGGTAGTAGCGCTTCCGTGTATCGAGCGACGAATATAAAAAGTTTGCGTAGTTTTTAATGCAACTAAATAACCAAACAAAAAGATACGATCCTCTTATTTTCCTCTGGTCTTTTCGCTTCTTTCAGAAATTCATGTTGCTTATTCAATATCTTTAAATTTAAAAGTAAAAAGAACCTTCTTCGGCCACCCCATTCGATCCTCTACATCGCATCGCCTTCGCTTTGCCCCTGTGGATTACTGGATTCAGAGAAAAGTTCGCACAATATCGGCATTTAAATCGTTCGCTATACCGACATCTTTCTTTTCATTCGGCGCTTTTGCCTGATATTTGCTGCAAGACCGCTATCGAACGTTTTCAACCTTTCGGCGTATACATAGCTGGAATACGAGCACTCGAGGAGCCAACACGAGATTCGATTATTTTTGAGTGGTCTCCAAACGATTTCGGATCTTCGCAGGACCTCTTAGAAAGTAAAGAACCTCGCCCGTACGACCATGATGGACGGGGGCTACTACTAGAACGAAGAAGAAAACAAATTCTGGCGAGGAAGAAACCTCGGTCTACACGCGCGAGTACTACTACTCATCGGTCGACGAGTCTCGCCTCGCAGCGCTTGCTTATTTATTTCCCACTCTTCCTGCTGTCTTACTACCACCCCCTCATCACCCCCTCACCAACCTCTTTTACTCCACTTTTCTACGTGGTCGATCCTCTTGATCTTAGACAGCGAGATCCTTCCTCTCTTCTCTTTCATTAAATACACCGACTCCTGACGAGATTCAATTTTATTCGGTGGATTGCTTTTCGTTGTAGCCCCCTGCACCGGTAACCAGATCCGGATCAGCGTCTGTCAACTCGCTCTTTCTATCTTCTCCTTCGCGTTTCTCGTTTTCCGCCTTATCTCGCTTCTCTCCTTTCCACACCTTCTTTTTCAACTCCCGCCGTTTCCCTTCTTCCGCTTCGTTTCCTCGGTCTCCCGTTGACCCTCCCCTTTCGCGTTCGTCTCACTCGCTCAGCTGTAAACACGTATAGTTTCTATCAGCAGCGAAGTCCGATTCTATCCACCTGTCTGACGAAATGTTGCTACTACTTCGAGATCCCCGATATTCCATGTTCTTGTCGATTTCCGGACGGGGAATGGGATGTTTCCACGGCTGCTGCCGCGAGAATCACGTCTGTACATCATATCGTATCTTTTTTTCCACGGGAAACGTTTCGTTCGAAGAACTGAGCAGGCGAAGAACGAGATTTGGAGATCTCGTGTCTCCGGAAGCACTAGAATTGGATTTATAGCGAACTACTATCGCGAATATAAAAAAATAATTCGTATTTCGGACTTAATTGCTGCGAAATGCTTCTTTGTAAAATACAATTCTTCGCATTTTAATTACTTCCTCTTTTGTCATCGACGAAGTGCATGCTGACTTTTAGGTGAATAACGAGTTACGTTAATCGAGCTTGGTTAAATGCTCGTAGACCGAAACTTTCGATATATTTAGTATATTTAATCAAGCCAGTTCGGTATATTTCGGAAAATATGTTCCTGCAAACTTTTTTACCGCTTGTCCAGCTCCGCTTCTCGTTGCCAAGCGGACAACGAGTAATTATCTGGCCAGTAATCGGTATCCAGTTGTTAACGTACAAAGGAGTAAACTGAGTTTTAACAGATCGAATAGGATTAATAAAGTTACACGACAGGTTACCAGTGTAAAGCGGTATATGGCACACGCGCGATGTAATTAAACGAAATTAGCCAGGCCATCGGCGCGACCAAAGTTTAATCACTCGATTTTCACAGGGTGCAGGTATCACGGCGAGCGCGTTCGCATACACGAAATTCTGCTTTCAGAAATTATGCATCGGCGTTGTTGCCGATTGCGTGTTGCACAAAGGGGCATAAATCGTGCATAGAATTCGCGCCCGAAAGGGACTCGGAACGAATGCTCGACTCTCTCTGTTTTAATCGCGGATACGTCGAAATTGCGTTGCTTGTAACGAAGGTATTCAACGATCCCGGTGAACGTACTAATTAAATTTGCGATTGCGTAAGCCGACCAATTATCGACAGTTCGCCACGGTGTTAAAATACTTGTATGTAAATGCGTTGACACGGTTTACACGTTTCGTGCGTAACACACGCACGGCTAGACTTTTATCGGTGTGCCGCGAACGCGTTTTCGCGAAAGCCGGAGATTCTTCTCTATTAACTTGTATATTTACTTCCATTAACGTCGAGCTATTCGAAAAATAAGCAGAAAAATTTGGCAAATTCGAGCAATTTCTCTGTACCGAGTTATCCTTTTGTGCGCGAGTACGAGTAACGTTCTGTTCCTAAGTATTTCTACCACTTGCAAATTATTGCAAGTATGTAAAATACACGTACTTGGAGCGAAAGTGTTTGATCTAACGTGGGCCTCTGGTATCGTCTCAGCTAACCATACACAGTTGACAGGGTGCCGATAAAAGTAATACTTCGCATTAAATAACGTAGTAAGGTAAAACGGAACAAGTTGCGTTAGATTTTACGTACACGTGTCTTAATAACGTGCTAGAAATTTTCCTAGAGAGTGTATCTTTCGAATTTCATCAAAAAATATACCATATTGCTGCAACTTTCACGAAAATGAAATATTAACCAGTGGAAATAATACGAGATACGCCGCACCATTTTGTAATTCCTGCAAATTAGTTCTGTCACTTACCTTTCAAACAAATCTTGTTTCTCTTGAATACTAAAATGGTATCGTTGTATTTGGTACCAGGTGGAGCTGTGACGTTCAACCTCAAAGCCAAAGGAATTTGCGCACTCACGAGACCCGAGCACGGTAGCCTGATCCTAAAGACTTGCAGTGTGACTGGCACCTCTCCCCTAGCCGACACGTTCACTCTGGGAGGAAGCAGTGCCATCATTCCGGAAACACCGCCCGGAACACCGACTACGTCGTAATCCAATTCCATCGAGTACGGTAACTGTAAGTAAACACGGAAATGAAAACAGATCTTTATAAACGCACTGTATGGCATCTCGAGGCGTTGTAGTCGCGTTGTAGTCGCGCTGTATAAAATACTATCAGAAACAAATACGCACGATCGCGAGAAAAGATGAAATCGAATTGAATTGCACTCAGATTTACAATTTGTTGAGAATGAAACGGCTTTCGATCGGAAAAAATAGAACGTAGAAATGGCCAAACAAAAGCGGACGTCAAATCGAAAGCATTCCCGTTGTTCCTCGTTTTCATCGAGTACGGCGTTTACGCGAGCTGGCCGATTACGGATACCTAATAAAAATAGCTCGAAAATCGTATTTCATTAGGCATACCAACGTGGAAACTCTAGCACGAACTTTTAAAGCAACCTACGATTACAGACATGCGATATTTTACGTTTAATCTGCAATTCTTTCGTATCGTAAAGCAATTTGTAGCCTTTAATAATTCTCGAAATTGTTTCAAAGACACCCTCGATGTCTGATATGAAATAGGAGAAACAAAAATTTACAAGACATTATTTTATAATAATTTTTCCCTCTTTTCGGAACTAAATTGATAAAATATACTTTTATAACATTGCATATATAACACGATTAAGTGCTGTTATAAATAACGTTTTATCAATTTTCACTTAACGATATCTATGTTTCCCATACGTCTACATTAATCAAATACACGTTCACGTGTATAATAAAAATACCTTAGTAAGGACCCGTGCGTCGGCGTTGTAACAGCGAGAAACCCCCTTTCGGCTTGCATATCATTACACGCATGCAATATTTCACACTGGATCCATTCTTATTTTACCTTCATTTGTTGCACGCTTCTTATTTCATGCTCGAAAATTGACGTTGATGCAAACAACTCCATTCTCTTGTTGCTGTTTCAAACTACCAAGTTATTCGTAAAATTCAATAAACTTCCAATGGAAAATCATCTTAGAATAATTCGCCGACGTGAAACACGTATATGCCTTTCCTTTAGATCGCATATTATTTACTTAACGTTTGAGTAGTCCAATTACGATAATACTTGTTACAGGAACTCATTTCCCCTTATTATTTACACAAGAATTAATCTTTTTCCCGGAATGAAAAAATCTGATTTTAACGTTAAATATCGTTATAATATATTCAACATAATAGTATTAAATAATATAGAATTTAATAATAAATTAAACAACGTAGGTTTAGAACAACTAAACGAATTGGCCTTCTTTATGTTTCAAATTTCTTTTTATTAAAAATTCGGGCATGTTATTAAGTGTTATTCATTAATTCCGTGAGATGTATTAAATTACAAAATTTTTTATAGCAAAAAAACGAGTGGACTAACAATTTTTCACAGATAAAACAAGAGCTCGGTTTGAAAAATTCATCTATAAAGCAATTTATTTGTAACGGGGAAATATTAATCTTTTTTTCTCTTCAATTTATTTCGTTGTGTAACTACGCATATGTACATATTACCAAATCTGATGTCTAGTCACGTTATTATTTTATATATATATATATATATATATATATATATATATAATATCGTTATTTAATTCCGTTTTAATTCTATATCTATATAGTTATAGTATTGTAACTTACAAGGGGTTATAAATATAATGTTACAGTTTTACGGTATTATAAAATATGCGAGTAAAAATAGATATGTAAATAATAATAAATAATATCTTTATATTATATCTTCCTCGATGGTAAAGTGTATTTTTTCATTAAATATCTGTTTCCTCGGTCAAAACTGGAATTCGATGTCATGGCTCGAGGTTGGCGGAAGGATCGCGTAACCGTCTAGTTTCGTTCAACCATCGGTGATGCGAGCAGTACCACTGACGCGACGGGCGGAGATGGTGAACTTCACAAACAAAAGTTCCCGCCCCTTCTCTGATCTGTGCAACTTCCGAGCAAAAGGGGAAGAGTGGTGGGAACGAGTAGTGTGTTTAGGCACGCCACAAGTTTTACGAGGTGGCATAAATAATGTGGTTAGTGCTTCGTGATGCAATGTCAACGGAGGCGATTCCACCCTCTTCAACCCCTCGGGAGCCTCCTGTAATCGTCGTAATCGTCGCGCCGGGGGTTTGCGATGGCGTGACACCTGCCTATCGCATTCGTTCGGCTAAGATCTTGCCAATTCTTTCTCTATGTGCTTTTTCCTTTCTTTTTACTACTACTTGAACACATGCGCTGCGAACCATACACAGACAGTTGATTTGCAATTTGATTTGCATAAGCCACTTTGTACTTCTTCTTCGCCAAGCTTTCCGTCAGCCAAGAATTATTAACGCACGTTAACCGAGGAACTTAATTATAAGCGAAGATAAGTCGGAATGAAATCTTTTATAGCCCGATCGTCTTCCATCTTTCGTTGTGAAAAAGTGGATTTATTATGTCTTTATGTCCGTATTTTCTTAATTCGTTAATCGGTACTCTCTTACGATGTAAACGATTTCAAATATCCTATTTAATCGTACAATTACGATATTATTAATGATAAAATTGATTTCTAACGATTCGGGCATATGTAATACTAAATAACGATAAACTTGATATAGGGAAATATAAAGGAAATTCGTTGCTTATTATAAATGATTTATGAAAATATAGCAACTAGGTCGATTATTACGAGTCTGAATATGCACAAATGCGCCATTTGTCATATTTCTTGACTAGACGGATGCCACATACGGTAGCCAACGATAAGCATTAAAAGCTTGTATTTACGCGATTTTTACATCGGATAAAGTGCGAGGACGTTATTATAGTTAGGGAGAAATCTCTAATACATCATCGTAATTCATCCGTTTTATTTGACATAATGTTAAAAGATAATTTGTTAATATAACATGTATAAAAAGAGTCTCACACTGTATGTCGCATGGAGACCAATTTAATCGGAAGAATTAAAGGTTGAAATTTTGTCGAATACTATGTGTATTATAAAGAGATTTCACGTTGGAAATATGTCTGTTTTTTACTCTCGTTCGAGTCGATGACGAACTCGAACGGGAGCCCTCTTGCCGAGGGCTGTGACATTTCTTTCTTTAGTGCCCCCCCTTTTCACATAATTATTATAAGGGTTGCGAATGATACGACATCGAGCCATTCGTCTCTATCCGGTGCTGACAGCCCTGCTGCTATCGACGTACTTAAATCATGACAACAACTGACTGGGAAGCTTTGGAAGGAAATACAAATCAAGTCCTTGATTCGATTCTTCGCATTCTTCCGTCGAGTTTTATTCTTGTTAAAATTTTTAAATTCCTAAAATATTAAATATTTTAAAGGTACTCTTCGAGTATATTGCTTGAGAAATTCATCGTTGCTACTTTCAAACTAGACAGCGATGTAACATCATCTTTTTTACCAAATTTTTATAGTTAAATGTTTATTTAATTCTATTAACCGAGGTTAACAAGCCACTCGATGGCCACTACGCCAAGGAAATTAACCGTAACTCTGATAAACACGACCGTTCTGCCAGGACAATTGCATCCCTGGATAATCGAGGAAAAGCATCTTTACGTAATCCGCAGTAGCTCCTTTCATCCCTGTAATATGTTTTAATTACATGGTAATTAACGCTTATTACTGTACAATTACTTGATGTTGTTAATTACCAGAACGTTTGACGATCTATTACGTAAACGAAATACTTTGTACTCGATAAAGTTAGGTGACTTGTTCGCACAAAGTGAGAAAGAATAATCAAGTTCTCAAAATGATTGAAAATTTATCAACGGAAGAAGAGATTAATCTTTTTTCTGTTTTATCGAAAAGTAGCTGCTTATTAATAATTCACAAAACGAATGGTTTCGTTCGATATTAATATTGGAAATTTCACATATCTCATAATTATACCTGGTATTTTCCTCTTCGATACATGCTTATGAAATATTTACATATTTTATAATTTCCACGATATCACACTCCGATTAATTAATTTATACACGAATTAATTCTGTCTTAATATCGTTCTGTTTGCTTGTTATTAATATTACACGAAATATTTATATTTTTCATACATTTAATACATTAATACTTAATACATTTAATATATTCGATATATTAAGTTATTATTTAATATATTATGCACAGCTTAATATATTATATTAGCAAACAAATCTTATTAAAATATAAGATATAAGATTTTAGTAAAAAGCAATACTGGCCTAACATACGAGAGATTATATTTAATTCCATAATAAATCAACGTTTTGTTTAGGATTCACGGCATACGTACATCGCTCTCAGCCAGCTTACAATTTGCGGATCAAATTGGCTCGTCCATTCCATCTATCGAAGAAGGCGAGATAAGTTAATTTCACAAATGCTGCAGTAAAATTTCGTTGAGTCAGAGATTCGATGCAATGTCCAGGAATAGAGATCTTTATAGAGACGAGAACGATAGTCGATCAACCGAGTTCAGTTACGTTCGCTTGCTTGATATCCACTTCAGGATCCTCGTAATAACGTAAAAACGTTTACTTAGGAAATGTCTGCTTTCATTCAGGGCCTGTTAAACTCCGGCACGCAGATTTCGAATCAGCTACCACGAACACTTGAATCGCTTTCCAGCCACGCACACGGCTTCGCGTATACTCCATTGTGTACGGAACAAACCTGCGTTCGACGTGAATCCGTACACCGTACATTATAGGCATTGTTGACGACGACGAAAAGGACGCCGTGTACGCTACACTATCCTGCCCCGTGACAACATCAACAAAACACATGGACCTCCTGATGGATGCGGACTTCTCCATTCGAATACTTCGAAATTGTTTTGGTGATTTTGTTATCGGTCACCGTTTGAACAAAAGAATACACGGTGCTTCGTGCGAGAATTCGAACGTTTACAGTGGTGTACAAAAGTACCTGGCCAGATAGATTTTACATTTTATATTTCAAAAGCAGTATCTAAAAGGATTTTACAGATAGGATAGAAGAGATAAAAAAATCGTCAAACATA